ACAGAATCTCTGGTTGGGCCAGTTAGTGGGGCTCCTGACGGCAGAGGCAGTCTGGAATTCATCGTTGAGATCCAGGACTCACATTCAGTACTGGCACATTGATTATGTCTGTGCTTAATAAATGAATATTAATTGAGTATTTGTCCTTGGTATTGTACACAGGGTTTCTACATTATCTAATTTAACCAGTTAACTGTCACACTATTTTGAGTTTAATCTAAAAAGGTCTGTCACTTGCATCTATAGACGCTTATGGTTTACTTTTATAATACTCCTGGAAGGCAGATTAGGAAATATAGAGGCTTAGAGAAACAAAGAGACTTAATACACAGAGCCGAGCAGTTAGAGGTGTCTGCCTAGGAAGCCCCTACCTGTGATTAGAAGTGAGATTTTAACACAGAGGAAGTCCAGTGCCCAATTCTCTCCGTGGCCATCCAGCCGCTTCTCCTCGGGGTGTGGGCTTCAGAGACCGTAATTCATTCCTTTCGACAATGATTGACATATTTAGAGGTGAGAGTCCTAAAAATTCTATTTCTTTGACTTTTGTTACTTTTCAGACTCATTCTCAACAGTGTACTTTACATTTTTCTCCTTTGGTGTTTCTTTTTTCTTTTTTTAAATATATTTTATTGATTTTTCACAGAGAGGAAGAGAGAGGGATAGGGAGTTAGAAACATCGATGAGAGAGAATCATCGATCAGCTGCCTCTTGCACACCCCCTACTGGGGATGTGCCCACAACCAAAGCACATGCCCCCTCAACCAGAATCGAACCCGGGACCTTTCAGTCCGCAGGCCGACGCTCTATCCACTGAGCCAAACCAGTCCCGGCTCTCCTTTGGTGTTTCATAACAGGGTTTCATCTTGATTTCCTAATTTAGTTTAGTGTTAGCTTATTCTGGCTAAACTTTAAATTTCTTTTGGCCGGATATCTTTAGCAGGCTCTGCTATCCAGAGTCTTAAGAAATTAAAATACATAGCTTCGAAAGTAAATACAAGTCATGTACTGACTGCCATTCTTACCAGGCCATGTTCATTCAGCATTCCCTGAATGCCCACTGTGTGCAGGCATCCTGCTAGGCACTGGGATAAAATGGTGAGCCAAACAGATGTGGTCTCACACCAAATGGAGCTTATGGAACTTACAGCCTCGTTGGCAGAGGCAGAGAAAAATAAATCCGTCTGCTTTTTAGTGGATTTGTTATTGGATGGAGTGGGGCTTCCTTTCCCCCAGTGGGTGCTGGGGGTGGTGATATCTTAAAAAAAAGAATTTTTGAGACTTGGCACAGGGAGACTGATTTTGATTTGCCTGGAATTATACCCTTGGGTTTCCAAAGTCCCCCTTCCCTTGGTCCAGGCACAGAAGACATGTAGCTGGGTTTCAGTAGAGCAAGAGGCAAAGCCAGTGTCCAGAGCTTCCTCCCCATGTTGGAGCCCGGTCCAGTTCAGCCTCAGGCTGGCTGCGGTCCATTTGTGTATTATGGCTAGAGTCCGCTTGGCTGTGGGGCATGTGGTTGAGTGGCAAGGGAGTCCCACAAACTCAGAGTCACACAAGTCCCAAGAGTCCTGAGAACAGTAAGAGCACAGGAAAGCAAATTCCTTTGTTCAGGGGATTAAATATCCCAAATCTCCCTGCGCTTGCAGTGGCCACACCCATTCTGGCCAACCATCTCTGCCCCCAGAGGTGTGATTGACAGTAAGCACCTTTGCTAGTCCCCCCAACTTTTTGGGCATGCATCTATCTCCCCTTTGTTGGACTCCCAGGGAGTATAAAGTTGTAGCTTTCTGGTGAAGTTGCCCAAATGACATGCCCAAAATATCTGGCCTTTCCTTTGCTCCTTCCCTATCCTATCTAATAAAAGAGTAATATGCAAATTGACCATCACTTAACACACAAGATAGCCGCCCCATCTGGTCAAAGATGGCCACCACAAGATGGCTGGCAAGGGAGGCCTGCAAGGAAGCGCAGTTGGGGGGTGATCAGGTCCGTAAAGAGGACATTTTTTTAGGGGGTACCAGGCCTCTAGGGGAGGACAGTTGATGGGGACCCAGGCATGTAGGGGAGGACAGTTGAGGGGGACCCAGGTCTGCAGGGGAGGGCAGTTGGGGGGTACCAAGCCAGCAGGGGAGGGCAGTTGGGGATGGCCAGGCCGGCAAGAGAGGGGTGACCAGGCTAGCAAGGAAGGGCAGTAGGGGCAACCAGGCCTGCAGGGGAGGACAGTTGGGGAGGCACCAGGCTGGCAAGGGAGGGCAGTTGGGGGTGACCAGGCTAGCAAGGAAGGGCAGTTAGAGGTAACCAGGCTGGCAAGGGAGGGAAGTTAGGGGTGACCAGGCCAGCAGGGGAGGACAGTTGGGGGTGAACAGTCCATCAGGGAAGGACAGGGGTGACCAAGTAGCATGGGAGGGCAATTAGGGACTATTGCACCAGCAGGGGAGCAGTTAGGCATCAATCAGGCTGGAAGGGGAGTGGTTAGGGGGTGATCAGGCTGGCAGGCAGGTGAGCAATTGGGAGCCAGCAATCCTGGATTGTGAGAGGGATTTCCAACTGCCCTCAAGGGATCCCAGATTGGAGAGGGTGCAGGCTGAGCACGAATTTCATGCACCAGGCTCTTGTCCTATCTAATAAAGAGTAATATGCAAATTAATCACCACTCTGCTACACCCACAAGCCATGCTTACCAGCCATGCCCACCAGCCAATCAGGAGCAAATATGCAAATAAACCCAACCAAGATGGCTACAGCCACAGAGAGCAGGAGGGAGGCTTGGGTTTCCCCAGCGATGGAGGAAGCCAAGCTTTCCGCCTGCCCTGGCCGGCCCAGGCCTCCACTCACGGCTACTAAGTTTCAATTATACAAGATACATAAATGCTAACAGAAATGGCTGCTGCCAAGGAGCAAGCAGAAGGCTTGGCTCTGCTCCAGGCTACAAAATTTCAATTGTAGAAGGTAAATAAACACCAGATACTGGGGGCTCCGCTTGGGTTGCCAGGGGGTGTGGCCGGCCTGCAAACCACCACAGGCCCCTTGCCCAGGCTGCCCCACCCCCCAAGGGAACCCCCATCCTGATCCGGAACACTCTTCAGGGCAAACCAGCAGGCCCCCACCATGCACCAGGCCTCTATCCTCCTATCTAATAAAAGAGTAATATGCAGATTGACCATCACTCCAACACAAGATGGCTGCCCCCATGTGGACACAAGATGGCCATCACAAGATGGCCAGCAGGGGAGGGCAGTTGGGGAGGACCAGGTCTGCAAGGGAGGGCAGTTGGGGATAATCAAGCCTACAGGGGAGGGAAGCTAGGGGTGACCAGGCTGGCAGAGGAGGGAAGTTGGGGGTGACCAGGCTGGCAGGGAAGGTTAGTTGGGGGGACCCAGGCCTGCAGGGGAGAGCAGTTAGGGACAAACAGGCTGGCAGGGGAGCAGTTAGGCATCAGGCTGGCAAGGGAGTGGTTAGGTGGTGATCAGGAAGGCAGGCAGAAGCAGTTAGGGGCAATCAGGAAGGCAGGCAGATAGCAGGTGGGAGCCAGCAGTCTTAGATTGTGAGAGGGATGTCCTGGATTGTGAGAGGGGTCCCAGATTGGAGAGGGTGCAGGCTGGGCTGAGGGACATCCCTCCATGCACGAATTTTGTGCACCAGGCCTCTAGTGTATGTGTGTGTATGTGTGTGTGTGTGTGTGTGTGTGTGTGTGTGTGTGTGTGTATGACAAATATGCAAAATGTCCCTTCAGGAGTTTGAGTGGGAAACTAGTAGTTTGATTGCTTTCCATGACCTGTGCTAACCACCAGTGTGCAGTGAGGAATGAAGGAAGGCCCTGGCCAGCATCCCAAAGGTCTTAGTCGGTCCTGATCTAGGGACCCTACCTGTGTATGAATTTCATGCACCAGGCCTCTAGTCAATGATGAGAGAGAATCATTGGTCAGCTGCCTTCTGCACGTCCCCTACTGGGGACAGATCTCACAACCCAGGCATGTGCCCTTGACTGGAATCAAGGACCCTTCATTCTGCAGACCCTTCATTCTGCAGACTGATGCTCTTATCCATTGAGCCAAACAAGCTAGGGCAGTGATTGGCAAACTCATTAGTCAACAGAGCCAAATATCAACAGTACAACGATTGAAATTTCTTTTGAGAGCCAAGTTTTTAAACTTAAACTATATAGGTAGGTACATTGTTATTAACTTAATTAGGGCACTCCTAATCTGGCCTTTTGTTAAAAACTCAAGGGGCCAAAGAGCCGCATGTGGCTCTTGAGCTGCAGTTTGCCGACCACTGAGCTAGGGCAATTAAAAAATTAATATATATATATATATATATATATATATATATATATATATATATATATATATATTATATATTTTTTAAATGGGTAATAGCCATTCACTTTATTTGAAACACGTTTTTAAAATCCTAAAGGATGCTTCAGTTATAAATGGTATAGCCTCTGTCAGAAGTGCTGAGAAAACATATCATCCACCATTGCACTGCTGTAAACATCTTGCATGCATTCATTATTATGGAAAGGACACTCATGTCACTGTGGTGGTTGTTTTTATTAAATAAAGACTGGTCTTCCCTGGCCATTGTGGATCAGTTGGTTGAGCATTGTCCCACACACCAAAAGGCCCCCAGTTCAATTCCTAATCAGGGCACATGCCCAAGTTGTGGGCTCTATACCTGGCTCTAGTTGGGGTGTGGGCCGTAGGCAACCAATGTGTTTCTCTCACATCGATGTTTCTCTCTCTCCCTCTTTCCCTCTCTCTCCCTCTCTCTCCTCCCTCTCTCTTCCTTCCACTCTCTAAAAATCAATGGGGAAAAAATATCCTTGGGCAAGGATTAACAACAAAACAAAATAAAAAATAAAGACTGAAGCTTGGTTTTGGTTCAAAAATGAATCAGCAATATGAACCCATAATAGGAAACACTTCACAGTTAAGACAGAAGTGGAATATTTCCTTTCAACCATTCTCTTAATTCCGCTAATTTTTCGCCCTCTTTAGGTGATGTTCTGATTAATGTTGGCCATGCCAATGTATTAGGATATACTCTTCGGGAATTTTTAAAGCTTTTGCAATGCGTCACCACAGGAACAGTGCTGCAAATCGAGGTTTACCGAGATTTTATTGACATACCCCAAGAATGGCAAGACATATATGACTTAATCCCTGAGACCAAATTCCCAGTAACATGGTAAGTAGTTCATTTTTGGAAATCTTTGTTATACTACATAATTCTCCAAGGTCCATGGAGCCAAGGGTCTTGGTTTAATATAAAAATTATCAAATGGACCATGGGAGGAGGAATTGGTGACCCCGCTAGAATAATGTCCCGTGTTTCTAAATCCTTTTGGAAAGAACGGTTTACAGGAACAGACATCGGGAAGGAGAAAGACAGAATCCTTGAACCTGGAGTTAATTAAAAAAAAAAAAAAAAAAAAGAGTAAACCATCCAATGGGAATGTTGCCTCCAAACACCCACATCACATGTCCCCCTTTTCAGTCTTTAAAAGTGCTGGGAATCCCATTCCACTTGTTTCCTGCATATCCAGCTGCTCTCTGGGTTCTTCCCAATAACACTTAAGCATTTCTAAGTTCCTGTCATCTTAGCAAACCCCACCTTTAACTCCACTGTCCTCTCCTGCTCCCTCTGGCCACTGTCCTGTCCCTAACTCCAAACTTGTTGGAAGAACTGTCCCAGATAGGACACTCCTCTGCTTTAAGTGTACTTAAGATTTAATTACTTCCCCAAGAGATTTAATCACCTTTTATCGTGAATACTAGAGCCCTGGGGCACAGATTCAGGCACCGGTGGGGTCCCTCAGCCTGCAGATAGCTCCCATTGCCCCCTTCTCCCAGCCCATAGCCCCTACCCTCACCCCCACCCCCAAGTTTTCACTACTCTGTTGCCTGAACCCAAGGGCTATGCATTTGGTTTATCTGTTCTCATCCCCCCAACCCTGTTGATCAATCCATTTTGTTCAGTGGATGCCACAAATAAATGGGATCATGTGATATTAGTCTTTCTAGGATTGGCTTATTTCACTCCAAACTTGTTGGAAGAGCTGTCCCAGACAGGGCACTCCTCTGCCCGTGTTAGCCTGGGCTTGCTCCCATCATGTGCCCGAGGCCTTTCCCAACCCCCACCCGCACCCCCAACTTTCACATCGTTGATTCCAGTGTCTCCTCTCATCTTTATTTTGCTTGGCTTCTGAGCATTAGACACTTTACAACCTCCCAACCTCACTTTTTTTTAAATTTAATAAATCTTTATTGCTCAGATTATTACAATTATTTCTCCTTTTCCCCACCATAGCTCCCTTCCATCCGGTTCCCACCTCACCCTGTGCCCTAACCCCCGCCCCCCATTGTCCTCATCCATAGGTGTACGATTTTAGTCCAGTCTCCTTCTGCACCCCCACACTCCTTTACCCCTGATAATTATCAATCCACTCCATTTCTCTGCCCCTGATTCTATTATATTCACCAGTTTATTCTGTTCATCAGATTTTTAATTCACTTGGTTTTTAGATTCACTTGTTGATATATATTTGCTGATCATAATTTTTATCTTTACTTTTTTCTTCTTCCTCTTCTTAAAGAATACCTTTCAGCATTTCATATAATACTGGTTTGGTGGTGATGAACTCCTTTAGCTTTTTCTGATCTGTGAAGCTCTTTATCTGATCTTCAATTCTGAATGGTTACTTTGCTAGATAGAGTAATCTTGGTTGTAGGTTCTTGCTATTCATCACTTTGAATATTTCTTGCCCCTCCCTTCTGGCCTGCATAGTTTCTGTTGAGAAATCAGCTGATAATTGTATTGGTGCTCCCTTATAGTTAACTTTTTCTCTTGCTGCTTGTAAGATTCTCTCTTTGGCCAAAACCAGTTTGGCTCAGTGGATAGAGCGTCAGCCTATGGACTGAAAGATCCCAGGTTCAATTCCAGTCAAGTGCATGTACCTTGGTTGCAGGCACATCCCCAGGGTGTGCAAGAGGCAGCTGATCGATGTTTCTAACTCCCTATCCCTCTTCCTCTCTGTAAAAACTCAAAAAAAAAAAAAAAAAAAAAAAAAAGATTCTCTGTCTTTTGCCCTTGGCATTTTAATTGTGACGTGTCTTGGTGTGGTCCTCTTTGGATTTCTTTTGTTTGGGATTCTGTGCACTTCCTGAACTTGTAAGTCTATTTCTTTCACCAGGTGGGGGAAGTTTTCTGTCATTATTTCTTCAAATAGGTTTTCAGTATCTTGCTCTCTCTCTTCTTCTGGCACCCCCATAATTCTGATATTGGTACGCTTGAAGTTGTCCCAGAGGCTCCTTACACTACCTTCAACTTTCTGGATTCTCTTCTCTTTTTGCTTCTCCATAGGAGTGTCCTTTGTCTCTTTGTATTCCAAATCTTTTGACTTGATTCTTGCGTTCTTCTAGTCTGCTGTTGAGTCTCTATATAATATTTTTTATTTCAGTCAGTGTATGTTTAATTTCTAGTTGGTCCTTTCTCATATCCTCCAGGGTCTCGTTAAATTTATTGGCCTTCTCTAGGAAATTCTTGAAAAACCTTATAACAGTGGTTGTGAACTCTATATCCAGTCTTTTGTTCTCCATATCTTTTGTTTGAGATCTATTTCCTTATCTTCTCATTTTGGCTGCTTCCCTGAGTTGGTAGGGTGGCATTGTGTGCTTGGTGTCCCATATGGGCTAGTGGGTAGGCCTACCCAGTTACCTGAGGTAGACACTCTTGGTGCTCCCCTTTGTGGACTGTGTGTACAGCCTTATTGTTGTTGGTATCACTGGGAGGAATTACCTCCAGGCCAATTGGAATGACCATCGGCTGTATATATGCCGGGATACCTTCTGTATTGGAGAGCCTTATAAGATCAAGATTGCAAAATTGCAAAAGCCTCTATGCTCAGCTTGGATGGGGCAGAGTCTCAGGGCTGAGCTGATAGTCTTGCCTTCCAGTCAGTTCTGCCCTTGTGCATGCACCTCAGATCTCTGCCTTCTGCAGCTCCTGGCTCCCCCGAGTCTCCCAGTCTCGGAATCTCCGGGTGCCTTTCTCTACAGTCCAGACTCCACCCATATGAGCCTGGGTCCATGGGATTTCGGCTGGGGCTGGGGTTCAGTGCAGTCAGGGGCTTCCTTTCCCCTCCCGCCAGCCAGGCACTCGGCTGCCCTTCCTCTCTGTGAGCACGTCTCCCTACCTCAGTGCTTTGCAGCTCCCCTGATCCGTGAGCCTCTTTCCTTCTTTCTAGTTGTAGATTTCCCACTCAGCCAGCTTTCCTGTAGTTTCGGATGATGTTCATTCTGTCTTTTAGTTGTTGTTTTGAAATTGTTGTGCGAGGTGGCAGCTCAAGTGCTTACCTAGGCCACCATCTTGGTTTCTCCCCCAACCTCACTCTTGTTGAAACATCACCTGCTTCCCACTGATACCCACTCCCCTGATTCTCCTATGACCTCAGGTCACTTTCTCTTGGTCTCCTTTTCCCCAGCTTTGGAGTCCCTAAGGTTTAATCTTTGGCTCTCTCCTCCCAATCTCCTGGGCAATCGCAATGATCCTTTTGGTTTCTGTTACTATGTCTGCCTCATTGAACAAGTCAGAAATTTAGGGGCTGTCCTTGATTTTTCTATCTCCCTTGTCTTCCCCTTTCCCCTGTAATCACGAAGACTTGTCAGTTATCCCCCGATTTGTCAGCTTCTCTCTGGCTACCACCACCATCCTCATTAAAGAAACTATTTTGTCTCCCTGCACCTACTCTTGTGCCCTGTTCTCTACATAAAATGATCCTTTTTCAATGCAAATCGTATTGTGACATGCCTTAGCATCTTTAAGACCTTCCTTTGTTCTTAGGATAAATGGTCCAGTCCTTATGTTGGCCTCACTCCAGGACCATTCCAGCCTCACTCACCTGCCCTTCCGAGTCCACTTGGCTCTCAGCTCTTACCTTGCTGCTTTGCTGCAGAGCCTTTGGATGGCCCTTTGTCTGCAACCTGCTCAGGACCCTGCGATGTGTTCTCTCAATCCTGTGTCTCTCCTCAGCACTGATCCAAATTGCAATGAAATACTCCTCATAACCAGTTGTTTGTGTGCTACCTGGGGGAATGCGAACTCAGTGAAGGCAGGGACAGGTCTGTCTGTTATGCCAAACTTGCCACAGGACTTTCTGTGATTGAGCCGTTACTCAGTGAGTGAAAATTTAAATCCAGCTTTGGAACTCTGGCAATCATTTAACCTGAGAGCTTGTTCATATGTTAGCACAGGAGCATGAGGGACCCTCTGAGGACCAGATACGTGAGAAGTTGGGTAGAACATGAGAACATCTTCAGCGAGCAGCTCAGTGCTGACGCAGGAGTGGTCCTTGTGAGATCCTGACAGGTCTCCTGAGCCCTCGTTGCTGCAGCTCTGAACCTTTATTGGGATGGGCCAAAGGAACCTGGCTGGTGCTGAAGTGTGTGGTTCCACGTAGCAGCCACCAGTCACATGTGGCAATTAAGCACTTGAAATGTGAGGATTTGCAAATGAGGAGCTGTAAATTTTATTCATGTTTAATCAGTGTAAATTTAGCAGCCACACCGAGCTGGTGGCCTTGTACTGGGGAGTGTTTCTTAAGCCTGGGCTGTAAATTATTTGCTCATACAACTACTGTGCTCTAAGCATTATTACAGAGTCTGAGATTCAGAATACTGAAATAGCACAACTTAAATGTGAGGCTAAACCTCCACAGGAAAGGGCTGAGGGTTCGATTCCTGGTCCCAGTCCGGGAAACAACCAATCGAAGTCTCTTTCACATTGATGTTTCTCTCTCTCTCTTTCCTTCCCTCTCTCCTGCTTTCTGTAAAAGAAATCAACAGAAAAAATATCCTCGAATGAGGATTGAAAAAAAAAAAAGTAATTTTCATTCACTATTCTTTTATTTCCAGCACAACGAAGAAAACTGAGCAGGCAAAAGATGACTTTCTCGCAAGCAGTGATGACAAGGAAGATGTAGTTTTAGATAAAAAACTTAAGTATTATAAACGCCCCCAGTCCACTGAGCATCAGCCTGCAAGGAGACCTGTGTCCATCTCCAGAGAATGGCATGAATACGAGAGGAAGGATCAGCCTGTGAGCGTGGGAACAGACCTTCAGTGTGACATTGTGGTTCACGGAGACGAGAAGGAAGTGAGAGCCCCTTCGCCGTACTGGGTGCTGGCGAAGCAGGACAGGGACAGCTCCTCTTCCTCCTCCGCCTCCTCCGCCTTCTGGCTGGAAGACTACGCCCAGGCCGAGAAGGACAGGGGCCAGCCCGCACCGGGCGTCGGGTAGAAGTGACCAGTGTGTGCTCATGGAGCATTCCTCTGGCAGCCCCGGTTGGTGCATTGCCACGCACAGCTGGCTGGGCCACAGGAATGTGTGCACACCCACCAATTCTTTTCAACTGTTGGGAAGCCTCTACGCCTGCTTCAGCGTGACAGCAAGACTTCCCGAGTGCCACAACAGGCCTCACGCAGCTTATTCTCAAACAGCTCACTCAGATCACTGCGGCGCTCCTTTCTGAGAATGTCAATGTCAGAAAGGGTAAACACAGTAGAGAATTTCGCTTTTCTTTTTTTTCTTTTCTTTTCTTTTTTTTTTTTTTTTTTTTTTTTTTTTGCCAATTTACTCCTTTAATGCACGGAAGGCTGGTCTTATATGCAGGGCATTTGATGCCAGATCTTGTGTTGTATTGACTCTGAACACCACCCTGTCCACTTGCAGGAGGCTTCTCTGATTCTATTATATTCAACAGTTAATATTGTTCCTCAGATTTTTTTTTTTAATTTCCTTGGTTTTTAGATTCACTTGTTGATAGAGAATTTCGCTTTTTAATGTAAGTACCACATTGTTGTTTAGATGTGCAGTTTCTCGTTTTACAAACTTCATGTGCCCTACTTAATAGGAAAAGTACTTTTTTTGGCTAGTTGTTCATATTAGAATTTTTTCCCTTTTCTGCCCCGCTTTTATTTGAACGTTGGGCTGGTAGCTAATGAGGGAAAGCTCAGCTCTGCGTGGTGAAGGGAAGGCAGACATAAAATGAAGCAGTGGGAACACAGGGCACAACTGGTGGGGAATTTATGTTTTTCAGAAATAACTCTATTGTGCCCTGGCCCGTGTGGATCAGTTGGTTGGGAGTTGTCCCAAGCACTGAAAGGTTGTCAATTCCTGGTCAGGACACGTGCCTGGGTGGTGGGCTGATCCCCAGTAGGGGAAGTGCAGGAGGCAGCCAATCGTTTCTGTCTCCTTTTCTCTTCTCTTAAAAAAAAATGAGAAATAACTCTATTGCAAAAAGGCAAAAAAAGAGGGTAAACCTAGCCCATTTAATTGTTCTTACCTAAAAGGAGAGATTTTTAATTGCTTTTATCTTTTAAAAAGCCACCAATACTAGTCTGGAAATATTTACTGGTAGCCGCTCACCTTACTTGTAGTAATTTCTCGCGCTGTTATATCCTGTTGTCCTTCACAACATCTGAAACAGAATGCAGTTCCGTCGGGTCCGGCGCTCCCTCTCCAGGCTCTTGCCGTCTCCTGTGGCTCCCGGATCATGGCTCTGGGTGGCTGTCTCTGATGGAGGGTCAATGGCGTGAAGGTGGGTAGCCTGGACACCAGAGGTGGTGGTGAAGTGCAAGGAGATCCTGGGGTGATGTGGCCAGACAGGAGACGACCCCTCCGCCGCCTTCGTAAGGCAAGATGCTGCCGGCCAGACTGCCTGGGCCTGTATGATGAAGCCTCCGAGGCCGAGGAGGGCAAGGGGAGCTGGTTTATCTGCTGGGCCGAGTCTGCACCAAGCAGCAGGTTACGGGGATCAAGCATGCGTTACAAGCAAACGGCCCGAGGAGGAGGACCGCTGGCTGCTGGCAGAGAAGCTGGGGCAGAGCTGCGGTCTCCCTGGAGCAAGCCTTCGCAGATCCCAGCAGGGGGAGGACTAGCCCTTCTCCAGGTGCCAAACAGCCCCCCCCCCCCCCCCCCCCGCCCAGCCTTCCTCCCCCCTCCAGCCCCTGCCTGGAGCGCCTGGCAGCCCCTCCTGCGGGATCCCAGCAGGCGGAGGACTAGCCCCTCACCAGGTGCCAAACAGGCCCCCCCCCTTCCTCCCCCCTCCAGGCCTGACGGTTCTGGCCTTCCCAAACCCCTTTTGATATTTTGACTCCCTTTGGGTTCAAACAGACCAAGTCCCCCCACCCCAGGCACCCAGTTTTGGAGAGGGCCTGTATTTTTTTAAGTGACACCCTTACTTGCAACCTGTTCCTCCCCTTTCCCAGGCTGCCAACTTCTAACTACAGTAGTGACCCTGCGGTGACTGTCCAGTTCTGTGTGTAAATGGAAAAAGATAACCCTCCCCACGCCGCCTGGTTCCCCTCCCCCTTTCCACCTGTCACGGCCACTCAGGGAAGCAGGACCAGGAAGGGGCTCTTAATTAAAAAGGAAAACGAAAAACCAAACCAAACCATGTCTGCAGAAAATAAACTTGTTGATTAACTGATTAGGAAAAATGCCAAGAAACACTTACAATATTTTATTGACTTCAGGTAAGGAGGGAACAATTTCTTGCATGTATACTTTTTAAGGTATTTCCCCTCACTGAAAACCAAGACAAATGTTACATTACAGACGTGGAACTTTCATGTTTGCTGCCCTGGATTGAGAAAATGTCCAGCCAGTGCTTCCGGTTTATAGCTCATCCACAAAAGGTGTATGCCCCAAATTTCCGCTCGCTGCCATTGACTTCTTGCCAGAAACAAACTTCTTTGCAGCCTTTGAGTAAACAAACAAAAGGCAGGAAGTTAAAGTAAGAACATGCACTGTCATGTACTTAAAAAGCACTTATTCTGTTCCTTCAAGACCTTATGGACAGGACACTAAGCCGCTAGTGAAGCTGAGCTACAGGACAGGGCGGGTAGGTTTTAACTTGAGGAAAAGCTCAGCTGTTCCTGTGAGCACCTGGTCACCCGTGTGCCTGGGCGAGGGGTGCTCTCTGTGAGGTGTAAGGACAGCCTCGCTGGCACTGCAAACAGGGCAGAAGTGGCCTTAGGCGGGCTGTGGACTTCCCGTTTCTGTATTACAAAGGCAAATAGTCTGAGTTAATAAAAACACACTGATTACTAACTGAAAAGTCACATTTTAGTGTTCTTTACACCACGACCATGTTGGTGCGGTTACGTGTAATACCATGAGTATCATCCTCCACATGGTCTCAGGCACCTTTTCTCAAAGGATGGTGGTGGTGGTGGCGGCAAATGAGGACAGACGCTTGGAAGAGTAGCCAAGTGAAATGTCAGGGTCACTGCTTTAACATAAACTCTTTTTCCTATCCCCACGGTAGACCTATTGTTGAGAAGGTTCAGGCCTCTACAATGGAAGGGCGGCTAACATTTTTAATGCAGAAATGACTGGAAAAATCTACTGACTTTGGATTTATTCTGTAGATCATGTGCTTGTTCGGCATATTAGGGATTACAAAGAGAAGCTAGAAGACATATTCCTTGCTCTCAAAACAACTCATCTTGTAGGAAATAATATATATGAAAAAAATATAGCAAGAGCAGGAGAATGTCTTAGACTGTGAAGACAAAAGAAAATCTTGAGATGCTGGATCGGGAAGGGTTGGCAGGACAGAGCTTGTTTCTGGGGAGTGAAAAGAAAAAATATCCACCTTGACTATTAGTTTGAATCGTAAAATTGCCAATATTTGATTTTTCTTGACCTCTAACAATTTAAAATGTTTAACCTAATGGTGATTTAGATAACCGAGAAAGAAACCTAAATCCCAAGTTGACAAGGAAGCTACTTGCAGGTCTGATGGTGCTGAGCCCCCTGCCTCCACACCAGGTGGGAAGGCACCCGCAGCTCCAGTCACACACACAGCCCAGGGAAGCTGAGCGTGCTTCCGAAAAGGGGCCACTAAAGGCCACGGTACCGAAGTTCAATGGTAAGTGCTCATTTGCTTACGCTTATGACGTCACTGTCCGCTACTGAGTCAATCTGCTGAAGGGCTGCGGGCGGTGCCACGTAGGAGCCAGCAACGAGAGCCTGCGACCCGATTTCGTCCAGGAAACCTCCCGAAGACTCCACCGACATCAGGTACCCAGCTTTCAGCTTGTTCCTGTCCAACCAAAGGCGATGAATTCAGAAGCCAGTTTTGTAGAGAAAGGTGATTTTATAAGTTTTCCCAAACTCTCAAAAATGTTTTGTAAATATGCAAAATTAACAACTTTGAAATCTTACAGTGCTAAAGATTTCCCTTCTATTTCTTCAGCCCACCAACTATTTTATTATTTACATTATCATTTAGGAAACTGTCAATACAAGATTATATGAAAAAACCCAACAGATTGCCTTTTGGTTTTTGGACTAAAACTTAGATCTAATTGAAATTATTTTAAAGTTCTGATTAATGAAGTAACTCTTAATACCTACTTTTTTGGTGATAATTTTAGGCATTGCTATTAGAGAAAAACATATGGGCTCTTAAGGCACTGTCAATTCTGTAGCTATCTTCCTAATCCCAGCCCAATTTCTATCCTGGGATTTGTTCCACTGAGGGCAGGAAGTAATGCAGAGGCAGTGTAGGTCTTATAAATCCCAGCAGGTTCAATGTGGGCATAAAAGCATCAAATTGAGGTAAAACCAAATCTACTTCACAATTTTCCCAGAAAGAAACTGGTGTTTAATAAGGCACCTGAGTTAGATAACTCTCCAACTATCTTCTTTTGCCATGCTGAACCAAGACTTCCATTTAAACATATTAGGTCTAGTAATAATTAATGTTGTTTTCCTAATACTTTTTAAAATCGAATTTATTTAAACAATACAACAAAATTTAATCAACAATATAGTTGCCGTTGTTTTCTACTACTTGTGCCCAACGCTCAGGAAGCATTTTAATCCCTCTGTTGTAAAATTCTTGTGATTTTGATGCAAAAATTCGGTCAATGCATTTTTGAGGCATTCTTCATTATTAAATTTTTTTCCAAGAAGAAAGTTTTGCAAAGAACGAAACAAATGGTAATCCGAAGGGGCAATATCAGGAGAATATGCAGGTTGAGGGAGAACTTCCCATTCCAACTGGCGCAGTTTTTCAGCAGTGATTCTTGCAGTATGCGGTCGTGCGTTATCGTGGTGAAGAATTACACCCTTCCGATTAATCAGCGCGGGTTCTTTTTCTCTTAAAGCTTGGGCTAACCATTCCAATTGGGCACTATACACTGCACTTGTAATGGTTTGGTTAGATGGTAAAAGTTCATAATGAAGAATTCCTTTAAAATTCCACCAAACACACAACATCACTTTTTTCGCATGCAAGTCAGGTTTTGGCGTGGGCTGCGGAGCCTCATTTTTGTCCAACCATTGAGGCCGCCTTTTCAAATTCACATACAGCACCCATTTTTCATCTCCGGTAACAATTTGCTCTAAAAACGGCAAATGGTTTTGACGAGAGGAGCGAACTGCAAATTGTGACTCTTTGATTACGGTTGTTGGCGGTCAACTCATGAGGAACCCATTTTCCAAACTTTTGGACTTTGCCAAGTGCACGCAATTGATTGGAAATTGTTTTTGTGAACAATTTAAAGTTGTCGCAAGCTCTTGTTGGGTAATTTGAGGATTTTGCACCAAAAGAGCTTGAAGAGCTTCTTGATCAGAATTGGACACACGGCCTCGACCACTCTTGTCATCTAACGAAAAATTTCCCTCGCGAAATTTCTCAAACCAACGCTGGCATTTTCTGGCGCTAACTGCATCTTGACCAAGAGCACTACAGATGTTTTTTGCAGCCTCACTTGCTTTTCTTCCTAATTGGAACTCGTAAAGCATGCAGTGCTGAATATGCTCTTCATCCGCCATCTTCTTAGCCCTAGTTTTGCAACAAAAACCAAAAACACAAACTTTTTCAAGCAAAATTTGTTAATTGCACTTCACACGTTCTGTAGATACCACGTGTTTGAAGGTTATGTCAATACAAGTCAACGCCAAGCAAGATTTTAAACGAATGTTTAAAAACGACATTAATTACTACTAGACCCGATAATTACAATTATATGCAATTTTATCAAATTGTCAATTAAAAGAAATTTTACCTGCAATAAACTTGATCAAGAGATTATTAGTTTGTCCCTTCAGAAATGATACCTTACTTTCCTCTCACTACAGGAAGATTAAGAAACCTATAAGAGAAAGTATCAACTCTATCTAGATGGCAGAAAACAAACTTTCTTTAAAAAAAAATACTAGAGGCCAGGTGCATGAATCTGTGTACGGGTGGTGTCCCTGGGTGGCCTATATGACTGGGCCAAAACCCGCGATCCAATGCTGCCTGCCGCTCCTGCTCACCCTGTGCCCCACTGCATACTCAGTCCCAATCGATTGGGAGAGGCTGGCACTGCCACCAGCCCTATGTCTGGTGCCCTCCCAAGGGCCGTGGCCTGCGGGATCAGGCTGAAACTGGCTCTCTGACATCCCCCGAGGGATCCGGATTGCAAGAGGGTGAAGGCCAGGCTGAGGGACCCTGCGGGGGAGGGATCATGGGAAGGCTCCAGGGCAAGTCTGGCCCATCTCGCTCAGCCCCAATCAGCCGGACCCCAGCAGCAAGCTAACCTATTGGTCGGAGCATCCGTCCCCTGGTAGTCAGTGCACGTCACAGTGAGCGGCTCAGCAGCCTTAACATATCATTAGCATATTATGCTTTGACTGGTTGTTCGGTGGTTCTGTTGTTCGGATATTTGCATATCATTCTTTTATTATATAGGGTTTTTACTGATTTCAGAGAGGAAAGGAGAGAGAAACATCAATGATGAGGAGCATCACTGATCCGCTGCCTCCTGCACATCCCCCCTCACTGGGGAATCGAGCCTGGAAGCCGGGCACGTGCTCTTGACCGGAATTGAACCTGGGACCCTTCAGTTTGCAGGCCGATGCTCTATAAACTGAACCAAATCAGCCAGGGCAGAAAACAAACATTCTTGACATTAATAACCCAAAACTCCACTTTCTACACGTTGCCACACCTTATAAAAATTGCTATATTTATTATTTGAAAGGCAATTTCTTAGTGTGTTCAGTATGACAAGAGTAATAATATGAACGAGAACAGAAGTGACCAAGCGGGTGCTTTCTCCTGGCTTGTATTCACTGTTGTACTTCTTGCGTGGGCAACACTTAGCACCCTGCTGACCGGCTATTTCAAGTCAGAACTTCTGCATTACTTTTTCCACAATTGAATATTAAATGAAAGTATCTAAAAAGAACTTAAATGTACTTTATTTTGTCATATGTTATATTTTATTTAAAAAATATTTTGTTATACAATAACCTTTATTGTATAACATGTATTTACATGCAATGGTACTAACCAAGTTTTACATTCTTATTGTGTTTCACTATGCTTTCCCTTAGAAGAACATACTTTATATGCCCCAGGGAGAGATTTTTTTTTTTATCACTGGTTACTATTTTGGTAAAACATGATCTTTAAATTTTCCTGAGAATCTGAGTGGCGGATCTTTATCTGGAGCTCTTCTAGATAGAATGGAAGAGGTGTGAGGTTGTGGGCTGCATTCAGTTGAATTTTATGTAATCCACTCTAGTGATTTTGAGCACAAAATTTTTGTACACTAAAAAAACAACAAACTATAATATTATACAAAGAAAATTTAAAAAAAATATATTTTATTGATTTTTTACAGAGAAGAAGAGAGAGGGATAGAGAGCTAGAAACGTCAACGAGAGAGAAACATCAACCAGCTGCCTCTTGCATACCCTCTACAGGGGATGTGCCCGCAACCAACATACATGCCCTTGACCGGAATCGAACCCGGGACCTTTCAGTCCACAGACCGACGCTCTACCACTGAGCCAAACCGGTTTTGGCTATACAAAGAAATTTTAAATGCATCGAAAAGGTACAATTTATCAAAAAGAAACCTACTTTTTTTTCATGCCATTTGATACTTGTGTGCAAGATAATACTGCCGTACATCAAATATTGACCTGCCTGACTCTCTTTATATATCTGATGTAATCCACTGTGCATGCAGGTTTTGTGATGTTATTTACATGTGGATATCGTAGAGATGTCATGGTCGATATCATACGTATATGATATGGCCCTTTATCTTTCTATGTAAGGAGAATAATGGAACCTCTACAAAAATGTCACTTCTCTCTGAAGGCTCTTTGATTTTTCTTATAGTAGCTCTGGCATTCCACGAATGTTTCTTCCTTATTGTTCCACAGACCAATTTTATTCTTCAATAATAGCTCACCTTAAACACGCTGTTGTAGTAATTATCATGGCGACTATGAGGCCAAGAACCAAGAAAAGACCGTTAAGATGGTTATCATCTGTTGTAACTTTTTACCTTCACTTGTATCTTGAAATTGCAAATATAGCCACTCTCACTTTCACAACGCATCCTTACTAAGTTCCCATTTTATTATTTTTGCCTGGTTATACATCTTGACTCTGATGCGTCCTCTCCATGGAGTCACTCTTCATCTGGTTGTAACTGCTGTTTTGTACGTATGAAGATTGATATTTTGAGATACATGATCCAACAGAGGTCTGAGTTTGTAAAGATGGTCTGTGTTACATGCTGCTTGTGAATTACTGTTCAGATGAAAGAATATAAGTATTTGCTCGACCTCTTTGCAGTCATAGGCTTTGAAAATAAAGGGTTGGTTGACCATTCTGGTTTCTTCGTTAGTCCCATCAATATAATTAAACCAAGAAAAATCTTTATTTCCAGATAAGTAATGTCCATCCATAATGAAATTTTAGCAGAGGTTTTGTGGTATTTTTCTATTTGGTGATGGTATAAATTGGTTTGAGAATAAGATAAAACAAAAACAAAAAACCCACACTTATAATAAAAAACGTGGTGAGTCTTCAAAGTAAACAGTTCTGCCTGCAGTATTTGTATGATCCTACAAGGCTGGTAAAATGCTTTCCTGCCGTTCTTCTTCACAATCATTTTCATTGTCAGACACGTCACGTTTCTCTTTTGCCTTCATGATGGTCTAATGTCAGACTCATCACTATCTTCTGACAAAGCACTATCTTCCAGCTGACTACCACAATCACTCTGCACATAGTCTGCTCACATGTTCTTCTCTGCCACAATGTGTCTTTGTAAAACTTTTGCCGTAAGAAAAGATGGATGAAAAGAATTAGATGTATTGCTCATCCTATGTCTGGAAATACTGACTGGTGAGCTGAGAAAAACACACGCATAATGAAGAGGAAAAGCAGTGAAGTGGCTCATACCTGAGCCTGACCAAAGATAGCTGAGGAAACAGTCCAAAGTGCTCTTAAAACTCTGTACTGCTTTCAGACCTTAAACTACTTACATTACTGTAAGCAGAAAGACAGTTACCTCGTGGTGGTCAGATCATGGAGACCAGTTGAGTTTTAGGACTCATATTTTGAATTGTCCTAAATGGATGGAGTCAAAGTTAAATGTTTTAAAATGCTGTATGAAAATGTAACCTCATTTCCAACTCTGCCAAAAGTCTGTTTCTGTTAGTCAGACCCTGGAACTGCCCAGTCAGAGGTGCTGTTTGCACTTTCAGCGAAGACAGTGGGAATTTAAATTCACCAAACAGGAGATGAGTACTTCAGTCTTTAATCAGACATCTTTTTCTGGTCTATCACATCAGTAAAAAAAAAAAAAAAAAAAAAGTTGCCAATGCTGTGGTCATACAGGCACTCATATCCTGGTGGTGTAATTGTAAACCGGTGTAACCTTTTCACATTGTGACTTCGAATATAAAAATAAAAATATAACCACATACATACATACATTTTATATATATTTTATTGATTTCATAGAGGAAGGGAGAGGGAGAGAGAAACATCAATGATGATAAGAGAACATTGATTTGCTACCTCCTGCCAATCCTATTAAGGATTGAGCCCGCAATCTGGGACTCTAATCCACAGACTGATGCTCCATCCACTGAGGCAAATCAGCTAGGACCACATATACGTTTAAAGCAGAGCCTTTCACTATAATGTTTACACCTCTTAAAAAAAAAAAAAAAAAAAAAAATATATATATATATATTATTGATTTTATACAGAGAGGAAGGGAGAGAGATAGAGAGCTAGAAACATCGATGAGAGAGAGTCATCGATCAGCTGCCTCCCGCACTTCCCCCACTGGGGATGTGCCCGCAACCAAGGTACATGCCCTTGACCGGAATCGAACCCGGGTCCCTTTAGTCCCCAAGCCGACGCTCTATCCATTGAGCTAAACCGGTCTCAGCTGTTTACACCTCTTAACACAGTTGTGATCTATACCAAGAAATTAATATGAATGACAAATGTTTTAAACCCAAAGATAACTTTGATGTTTTGAGATAACAATTATTATTTATGACCAATATTTAGTAATCTGAATAGAATCATCTATATATATAAAAGGCTAAGTGACCATTGCATCTGAAACAACTGAACGGACGACTGAGCAAACTGCTTGGGGTTACCAGGCCAGCAGGGGCAGTTGGGGGCAATTACACCTGCAAGGGGGGGCAGTTGGAGGTGACCAGGCCACCTGGGGGGAGGCAGTTAGGTGCAATCAGGCAGGCAGGCAGATGAGAGTTAGGAACCAGTGGTCCCAGGTTGTGAGAGGGCTGCCTGGCAGTCAGACATCCCCTGGGGGTCCTGGATTGGAGAGGGTGCAGGCTGGGCTGAGGAGAACCCGCAGCCATGCATGACTTTCATTCACCGGCCCTCAGTAACGTTATAAACAGAGAAATCACTGGGAATGAAAAGTCTTTTTTTGTGTTTGTAATTTTCAAATTTGTGCAATAAACACTATCAATAGGACATAATTATATATAAATATTAACAATTACGTTTAAAAATGCATAAAAATGGTCAAGAAAATATGCATGTTAACACTTGTAATTCTTAAGTGGTAGGATACGGGCATGTTTTCCTTTTAAATATTCTTCTATATTGCCGAAACCGGTTTGGCTCAGTGGTAGAGCATCGGTCTGCGGACTGAAGGGTCTCAGGTTCGATTCCGGTCAAGGGCATGTACATTGGTTGCGGGCACATCCGCGGTCGGGGATGTGTAGGAGGCAGCTGATCGATGTTTCTCTCTCATCGATGTTTCTAGCTCTCTAACCCTCTCCCTTCCTCTCTGTGAAAAATCAATAAAATATATTTTTAAATATTCTTCTATATCTTGCACTTCCCTTTTGTGCATACATTACAATATTGTCATAGCTAAAAAAATATAACTTTCACATAATTTAAACACAAAACACAACTACTCCTGAAACTTACTTGGCAACCTGGACATCTGTGCTGGAAAGGTTTCCTTGAGCAATTGCTTTGACTTGGTTGTAGGCAGCCTTGATAACCTAGGACAGACAATGAAAACTGGTCACCTCTAAGCAGTGCCAGCTTCTATAGCAATCAAATGCTCCTCTAAGGCAAACACACAGGGGGGAGGTTAGCTGTAGAGAAACAGCAGAGTGTCCATTTGGGATTCTTAAGTCACCACGTGTTCCTTATCTTTCCAATGTTCCATCAAGTAGCTGTCTGTATAACTTTCAGTATCTGAGTAGCAAAATTTCTTACAGAAGTGGCAGAGGATGGCAGTAGGGTCTAGGAAAAGCACACTCTGACTTATCATCCCCTTTAGAGAATAAGCACCTCTAAAATGTCCCCAGCCTCTCAAAGAATCATGTAGTAAACACTGCTGTCTTAGTGTTCACTGAGAAGTAGAATCCATCCAGACAGTGACAACCTGACAATGCCTGGGAGCTGCAGTTAGAAGAATCAGGTTCCAGTGTTGTGGGTGGGCACGTGGTAAATATTTGCTGAATGAGTCAATTAATAAACCTGGCCCATGATTCTCTCCACCCCAACCTTGGCACTATTCTGGGTCTGCTACTTCATGTTCCCCCTCATCACCTAAATTCTAGGACCTTCTATTTCAGCTGCCCATGTCCATAGGCACACCCTAGGCTTGGCCATCAGCTAGATTTGCCCTGCCCACTAAATTCTCAATTCGAAAACCCCCAGCCTAAGTCTTAAAACATGCTGTCCGTATTTTTCCACTTTGTCAAGATCTCTAGTTCCTTAGTTTATCTCAATCTGTGAGGTCCCTCTGGCTTCACTTCTCGTTAATTCCTTGGTAATGTAAATTATTGTTTAATTAAAATCCTACTTTGGTAAACCGCTAAGACCTCTCTATGGTAACTAAAGGGAGGTTAATTCAGGGTAGATCAAAATGGTCTTCACTGTTCTTTCCTGGCTCCAAATGCACCAGTTTCTCTTCTTGTTCTTCCTGTTTTCTTGGCCATTTTCCTGAGTCAATTGGTGGTTTGAAACCACCTTAAAGCACGGAGCACCTTCAAGTACAGAGCATAGGAGCTTCGGTTTTCTCCTATGGTTTCTCATACCAAACCCTGATTTCAACACAGTGTGTGTACTGAGGACTCCCAGATACACTTTGCACTTCCCTGTGTCACCCGAGCTCTCAATTTAGAGGTCCCAGAGACAACTCAAAGCCACTTCTCCAACAGACCCAGACACCACCGAGGAGCTTCCTTCCTCTCCTGTAAGCACCGTGTACGTGTCTCAGGCTCCTCCACAGCAGGGACGCTTCCATGATTCACAGAGCTCTGCTAAGTCATGTCAAGTCATTCAAACACTCCACATCTTAACGTAAAAGCTTGTGAGAGTTTGCAACTTACATCTCCAGCAGCTGCAGCCTGCGAGATAGTATAAATCCCAAAGAGTCCAGAATCCGAGTAACTGGCATTGAAAGCAGAAACCTGAAATATAATGAAACTCAACTGTACGCCATTCTACCAGGTAGTACAGTGCACACCTTCCTTACGATTGTCTCACAAAACTTATACCTTTACAATGTAAGCAAATAGACCAGCATTTCATTTAGCCAGTCTGTCAAGGACTGAAGCATTATCTCTTTCAAAATGATCATTTAAAAAAAAATGTATTTTTATTGATTTCAGATAGGTAAAGAGAAAGAGAAGTATCTATGATGCACGCCCCACAATGGGGATTTGAACCCACAACGTGGCATATGCCCTGACCAGGAATCAAACCATGACCTTCTGGTTCACAGGTGGACACTCAACCACTGACCCATGCTGACCAGGGAAGAATAATAATGGTTTTAACTTTTCTGTTTTAAATCTTTCCAAAATAGGTGGATTACTCTAATTTTAGATGAGTATTTTCTAACCTATTTTGATTATGACTAAAGATTAGCACAAACATGGATTTGTGAACATTATTATTATAGACACAATGGCCGAGTGGTATGATTGTGGCACTAGACAAACCTGCCTTCTTCCCTCTGTTGTTGCTGACTTCCTTTCACCAACTCGCTTTCACTTCAGAGACTAAAGTCAAAGGGTTAGGGAACACTTTCTGCTCGGAGGCAGTTATCTATATGTCCAAGGCAGCACAAAGAGTAGCCCTGGACACAGTTACTGCTGACTGAACGGAGTTAAGCTCCTTAAGGTGATTGCTGGGACAAGGCTTCCCAGTGTTGCTGTGGACCATCTGCCTAAAGATCACCGAGCTGTTACCAAGAACACAGACTTTCAGGTTCCTGCACCAGTTTACCCACTCAGATCCCTGTGGGCACAGTCTAGGGCCACACTTTAATGCTCCAAGTGGTTCTCATGTACTTTAAAATGTGAGACCCAGTGGTGCAGCCCCTATAGCTTGGAGAGAGCTAAGAAAAACTGCGCTTTAACTACTTGAATTATAATTCTAGACTATCCTATCACATATCAAATTCGGAAGTAGAAATTTCTATTAAATTGTCATTGGCCCTAGCCAGTTATTCTCAGAGGTTAGAGCGTTGGCCCTCAGACTGAAGGGTCCCGGGTTTGATTCTGGTCAAGGGCATGTACCTTAATTGCAGGTTCAATCTCCCACCCCAGTTGGGGCCAGTGCAAGAGGCAACTGTTAGATGTTTTTCTCTCTGTCTCTCTCCCTCCTTCTACTCTCTAAAAATCATGGAAAAAATATCCTCAGGTGAGGATTAACAAAAATAAAGTCATTGGACTAGGATTAAACTCCAGCCACTCCAAAGCATCATTAACATACAATGGTGAAGAAAGAACAGAGTAGCCCTAGCCAGTTTGGCTCAGTGGAGAGAGCGTCCGCCTGTTTGTGGACTCAAAGGTACTGGGTCCGATTCTGATCAAGGGCACATGCCCAGGTTGCAGGCTTGATCCCCAGTAGGGGGCATACAAGAGGCAGCAGATCAATGAGTTTCATCATTGATGTTTCTATCTCCCTCCCTCTAAAAATCAACACACACACACACACACACACACACACACACACACACACAAAAACAAACCCACAAAAAACCAACCAAACAAACAAACAAAAAAACACCAAAGAAACAAAAACAAAAAAATCCAGAGTAGAACATGAACCAGGAGAAAAATTCTGGAGGAAAATTTAAAAAGCAGCAGCTGAATTTAATTTAGAAATCATTTAGACAATGGTTCTCAAACTGTGCTTCAGGGAACTCTAAGGCTCTGTACAGAAAATTCAAAGGGTTTCATTGTCAAGTAACTCTCAAAACTTCTTTAAAAGAAAAATACTTTTGTGTAGGCATTGCAGTTGGGAAACCATATTGGATAAAAAGGCTCCTTTGGCCCAGCCGGTGTGGCTTAGTGATTGAGCACTCAAGTTACAGGTTCAATTCCCATTCAGGGCACATGCTGTGACTGCATGCTCGATCCCCAAAAGGGGGCACGTGGGAGGCAGTTGATTCACTATTTCTCTCTCTCTTTTCCTCTGTCAAATCAATTAAAAAAAAAATTTTTTTTTTTAAAGGCCTCTGCTAATAAAACAGTTTGAAATCTGGCACTCAAGTATTAAACATAGGAGTAAAGCCCTGGCTGGTGTGGTTCAGTGGTTAAGAGTGTGGACCTGTCCTCATAAGGGTCTTGGGTTTGATATCTGATCAAGGGCATCCATCAGGGCTGCAGGTTCAATCCCCTGCCCTGTTCAGGGCATGTGCGGGAGGGCAACCAACTGATGTCTCTCTCCCATCCATGTTTCTCTCTCTCTCCTTCTCTCTTCCTCATTTTCTTTAAAACAAATAAACAAAAATAAAGGAGTCAAAGGAGAAGAATGATTTTAGTTTTCACTGTTAAAAGTCAAATGGCCAAACACTTTGAGGCATAAACCTACCTGTGCCATGACTGCTGCTGCAATTATGAATACTTAATCCTACCAATTTAGTACGTGTTACTTTTTTTGGGGTTAATCTTCATGTGAGGATATTGCTCCATTGATTTTAGAGTGGAAGGGAGGGGGAGACAGAGAGAAACATTGATGTGAAAGAGACATATCCATTGGCTGCCTCTCACACTTGCTCCAACTGGGGCCAGGGATAGAGCCTGCAACCAATGTACTTGCTCTAGACCAGAATCGAACCCATGACCCTTCAGTCCGAGGACCAATATTCTATCCACTGAGCCAAACCAGCCAGGGCATGTGTTACCTTTTAGTAAAAAGCAAGATTTATGCAATCTGAAGAGAAATCAGGGTATATGTGTTACGTTTTAAAGGCTTATCACTGAATGTCATGGAAAGTTAGTACACTGGGCAAACAATGGGCATTCATTAATATTTTGTTGACATTTTAAATTCTCTTGATTTGAACATCATTATTTTGAAAGCTTTAGCACTTTCCTCACTGTCAAAAAAAGGTGTCTTCTAAAGTAGCACGGAGGCCTGGACAGTGTTGCCAATGGTTAGAAGGATCTCAGGTTCAGTTCCCGGTCAAGGGCACGTGCCTGGGCTGGAGGTTTGATCCTCAACCCCAACAGATCGATGACTCTCTCACATTGCTGTTTCTCTCTCCAACCCCCCACCCCTCCTTTCCATTTTCTCTAAAAATTAATGAGAAAAATACCTTCAGGTGAGGATTAACAAACAAACAAAGTGGCATGGACTTTTTGCTAAGATTAAATGTCATCATTTTTAATTTAATCTCAAGCTGGAGGAGTTTCCTGGTGTGTATCTTGTATACTTGAATGGAAAACATAAAGACCAGTGAAATTCAGGAGGTAGCCATAGAACGGAAGGGGACAGAAGAAAATTTAGAAAAAAAACAAAAACAAAAAAAAACTAATCAGAATTTAGAGAATGTTTAACATTTAAAGCTTTATTCTAAAGGGAACTCGTGTGAATTCCCGATTTTTAAAGTATTTTTCTTTCTAGTATATTAGAATAATTGAAAAGACAGTAAGTTTTGTTTTTTTAAAAAAAATATTTCTGTTGATTTCAGAGAGAAAGGGAGAGGGAGAGAGTTAGAAACATAGATCAGCTGTCCCCACCCTTGTATATCTTCCACTGGGGACTGAGCCTGCAACAAAGATTGTTTTTTGTGTTCGTCTAAAAATTAAAGAGATTAACGTTAAATACAGATTATCAGACTGCATTGTAAACACTGAGCATCTGAAAACAGAGGAGGTGAGTGCGACTGGCAGACTTACGTCAAATGGCTGGTTCATCCCCTTGGCAACAGCCTGGTACAGAGAGTTGGTGGCGTTGCTGCCCCGCTTGACATGGGGCCCGGCGCCCAGGACATGCTGGAGAACACTGAACGCATTTGCCTCTGCGCTTCCTGTGGCGGCACTCTCTGCCACCAAGGCAGCGTGAACAAGACTGTCCCCATTCTGCTCCCGAATCTCACCTGGGCGGGTCAGGAGAGGGTGAAAACAAAGTGGCTTGGTCACCACCGGTTTTATTCTCAGTCTTCTGTGCCCAACAGTATGAACCTTCTAAGCTAAGCTTTTCTGAGGCCCACCGCTCTTCCCCTGCCATCCTGCCTTCCTCCCTGACACACTGGGGTTGAGGGGTTCCTTCTGAAATCTACTCTCACAGAGCAACGCACTCACCTCCACGGTACCTGGCCTTTGCACCTGACAGGCCGAGCCCACCCCGCATGTTCAGAAACCGCTCAGCAACTTGCTTCAGCACAGCATGACTCACACCTATTTCACCAGAAAAAAACAAGCTAGAACCAGAAGTTCTAAAACACAATTGTAAAACATCTATTATTTTAAATTCATATATTACAGAAATAAACAGCAAACAAGAGTCCCCTCCCCCAAAATGCCATTCTCTCAGATACCTATTTACAGTTTCTACATATTAATCTAGAACCTTTTCTAGGCATGTATTAATATCACCTTCATTTTATTTACAAAATGGTTACTGTATTAATATTTAACTTGTCTTTTGAAATTTACAACTAAGTGAGTGGTCTACATCAAACCTTTAATGGTTATAAAGAATTCCACTATACGAATTTACTTAACTAACCTCTTCTTTCTGGACAGTTTTCCAATAGTTGGCTATTAATACAATATTCATTGTGTATCAAAGGATATTTCTGAGAGAGTAAAAAAAAGACAACCCACAGAATGGGGAAAAATTTGCAAATAATGTATCTGGTAAGGAATTAGTACGCATAACATACGTCTTATAACTCAGCAATAAAAAAAAACCATACAGCCCACGCAGTGTGCTACAGTGGTTGAGTGTTGGCTGACCCATGAACCGAGAGGTCACTGGTTAGCCCAGCCAGCATGGCTGTCATTGAGTGTTGACCAATGAACTAGGAGGTCACAGTTTCATTACTATTCGGGGCAAATGCCTGGGTTGCAGGCTTGATACCCAGGGTAGGGTTTAGAGAAGGCAGCTGATCAATGATTCTCTCTCATCACTGATGTTTCTATCCTTCTCTCTCTAAAAATCAATAAAAATATATTTAAAAATAAACATACAACTCAACAACAAAAACAAAACAAAATCCCTGATACAAAAATGGACAAAGGACTTGAATAGACATTTCTTCAAAGAAGATATACAAATGCCCAATAAACACAAAATAAAATGCTCAATGTCATTAGTCATCAATGAGCTACAAATAAAAACTACAATGAGATTTCACATCTGCTTGGATGGCCATAATAAAGAAGGCAGAAAATAACAAGTGTTAGTGAGAATATGGAGAAATCGGAAACTTTGTGCACTGTTGGTGGGATTGTAAAATAGCTCAATTGATTGGAAAATAGTCTGGTAGTTCTTCAAATATGTCCTGACAATCTCCTAGGCATATACCCACAAGAATTAAAAACAAGGTGTTCTAGTCCGGCTGGTGTGGCTCAGTGGTTGAGTGTCAGCCTATGAAACAGGAGTGTGTGGTTCAATTTCCAGTCAGGGCACATGCCCAGGTTGCAGTCTTGGTCCTTAGTAGGAGGCATGCAGGAGGCAGCTGATCAAATGGTTCTCTCTCATCACTCATCTTTCTCTCTCTGCCTCTCCTTTCTTCTCTGAAATCAACAAAAATATAATGAAAAAATAAAAACAAGTGTAATAATTTAGCAAAAACCTTATACATAAAAGTTTATATTCACAATAGCCAAAAGGTAGAAGCAACACATATATCCAGCTGGTGAGTGGACAGATAAAATATGGTGATGGAATATTTTTCAGCCAGAAAACGGAACATTGGTACATGCTATGAGTGAACTTTGTAAACCTTACGCTAAGTGAAAAAAGCCAGTTACAAAGGCTATGTAAAATTATGTTTCCATTTATGTGAGAAGTCCAGAACGGTTAACAGTTAAATCAACAGGAAGCACATCAGTGGTTGCCAGAGAGGCGAGGAGGAGGAGGAGTGGCCACTAAGAGGAACGGCTTCTCTCTGGGGACGATGAAGATAATCTGAAATAACAGTGTCACCAGTCCCACAACTCTGACTGTACTTCACAACATGGGCGAGTTCTACGGCATGTGAATTACTATACCTCAGTTAAGCTACTATGTACAAAACACATGAACCAAAACCAATATTGCAAATAATCTCATGCAACCAGTTTGTAAACTTGATCAAATGTTTCTGCAGGTTAAATTCTTAAAAGTAAAACTGCTAGGTCTAAGAACATAAACATTCAGAATTTTAATATACCTACTAACATAGGCCTCCAATAATGTTCTATCATTATATTCTCCTGCCAACAACTTTTGAGAGTGCCTACTATTTCCATATTCTGGGTAATACTGGGCAGGGTCACCTTCTAATTTTTGCCAATCTCTCAGATAAAATTTTCTTAATTATTGGTGAGGCTGACCATCTTTTACCATGACAGCTGACTCCCACCCCCACACACAATTTCCCCACCAGTTGTTTGTTCACGTCCTTTGTCTATTTTTCTATTAAACTGTTCTTCCTAAAAAACAACAAAGCCGAAACCAGTTTGGCTCAGTGGATAGAGCGTCGGCCTGCGGACTGAAAGGTCCCGGGTTCGATTCCGGTCAAGGGCATGTACCTTGGTTGCGGGCACATCCCCAGTAGGGAGTTTGCAAGAGGCAGCTGATCGATAATTCTCTCTCATCGATGTTTCTAACTCTCTATCCCCCTCTCTTCCTCTCTGTAAGAAATCAAACATAAACAGGACTGAGCTGTCCAATCCTGTTCCATCCCGTGTTCACCTGTTTAAATTTAAAAGATTACTTCTTAAAGAAGCAAACTGACATTAGGCAATTCCCACTTACCAAGTCCAACCAAAGCCATTCTTGCACTTGTAAAATGGTTCTGAACATACTGATGTAACTGAGGAAGTGAAAAACACCCATTAGGTTATATTGGCATAAATACCTAAAAAGCAGTAAAAACTTAAAACTGCAGTTCAGCAAGAAAATGCTCACTTAGAAGCTGTGTAAGAAACGATACAGCTTTTAAATCAGGATTTTCTTTAAAAGTACTGCCTAAAACAGGAGTGAGAACGTCCAGCCCGTGCCGGGTAAGGCTCAAAATACCAAAATGTTAACTAAGATTGTCTCAAGTTATTAGTCTGGTCTGGCCCTGCCACGGTGTTAGGGGTAAGTCAGTTAAATGTTTGACCAAACACAGCAGGCTAATTTTTAAGGTGATCATTTTGTAGGGCCCGCAAATGAGTGTAATATATCCACATGGCCCTTAGCAGAAAAGAGATGCCCCACCCCTGGCTTAAAAACACTAGGACGTGATGTGTTGGTGGTTACACAACTGTGAATGTAATGAAAATGACTGAATTGTAGACTCTAAGTAGGCGAACTGTATGAATGTGAATTACACCTCAATGAAGATGTTACTGGGGGGGAAAAAAGTAAAAAAGAGAATAAAAAATTACCGCACACCCTGGCTTGACCTTGAAAAGAGTGCGATCTAGTTTATGATTTTAAGATAATGTGATTTAAGCAGCAGACCAGGTTTCTTTTGTCTTTATGCAGGTAGCACTAAACCACTATTAACATTCTATAGGAGGGCTAACAGAAATACCCTACTCTACCTTTCACACATCTTGTCATGAACTTACTGTCTATGCCACGGTTTCCAACCTGGATGACAAAATAATTATCTGGAGGACTTAAAAAACAAAACACTATCACTGTTTCCTCACCTCCACCCATTCCCAGGCTCATACACAAGCTGATATACAGTAGAATTCAATGTGGAATCCTAGAATCTTTATTTAAAACTACCCACCACACCTCCACCCCTAGTGACCTGAGAACCAGTGAGATTTAGACCTAATATACAAAAGTCAGACTTTAACATGTATTCTCAACAGGAGCACTATGGTTCAAAGGAATGAAAATAGCTTCTTCAGGGCGAGAAAAGAATCTTATTCCTTTTATATACAGAGTACAAATAAAGATACAGTACATAAACAGTGTGTCTGTGTTATTAAAAATTCGTTATGGGGGACGCTCAATGGATAGAGCGTCGGCTTGGGGATTGAAGGGTCCCGGGTTCGATTCCGGTCAAGGGCATGTACCTCGGTTGTGGGCATATCCTCAGTAGGGGATGTGCAAGAGGCAGCTGATCGATGACTCTCTCTCATAGATGTTTCTAACTCTCTCTCTCTCTCCCTTCCTCTCTGTACAAAATCAATAAAATATATTTTAAAAAATCAATAAAATATATTTTAAAAAAAATTCGTTATGGAAGGTACAGAAGAAACTGGCTACCGAGATTTCTTGGCAATGGGTTATAATGTTGAGAATCACTAGGCTAGGGTAGCGAGACTGAATTTTTAATCAAGTTATCAAATTTTTGTGCTCTAAAATGGTGTCTATGAATACAGAGTTGCCTTGGATATCCACATTCTTATTTCCCCTCTTCTATTGAGGTTTTTCTATTGAATGCTGCCATTGCTCAAAGTATTCAAGCACTAATTTCTTTAGAATTTCCTTTAGCCTAGGGACACATTTCAAAAATGCTAATAACTTGAGACAATCTTAGTTAACATTTTGGTATTTATCTATGAGATACATACTTTATTACTCTTTTTTTTTTTTTAAACTGTAGTTGACACAACACACATTTTGTTTTTTTAAAAATGGGACCTTTGGTATATCCTGTTCATAAATTGCATTTCCTTCACCTGACAATACACTATGGAATTTTTCCACATCAATTAATAATAGAAGTGGTTGAACAGCATTCCAATGACACACCCAGGAGAAGTCTAGAGGACAATAACCCTACATGTCCACATGACTGCCTTTAGGATACGAGACCTTCTCCTTCCCTTTGCTTGGCACTGCTTTCTGAAATGAACAGGTCCCTCATATAATAAAACTTTTTAAAGTTAAAACATTCAGAAATTGTTCTGGTAGAATTTTAGTTAAAAAGCTATGGGGGGAAAAAGCGAGCGTATTTCTTAAAAAAAAAATAAAATTAAAAAAAAATTAGCAAACCGCTTGGCCCGTTTTGCAGGAGGCAGTCTATGGATGTTTCTCTCATCAATGTTTCTCTCTCTATCCCTCCTTTCCCCTCTCTCTAAAATCAATAAAAACTTACTTTTTAAAAAGTTAGCAAATAAACCCAACATGGCAGATGAATGTTCAGTTTAATGTGGAAATTTTTATTTATTTATTTACTTACTTAAAAAATATTTTTATTGATTCCAGAGAGGAAGGGAGAGGGAGAGAGGAATAAAATATCAATGACGAAAGAGAATCATCGTTGGTTGCCTCCTGCACACCCCACACTGGGGATTGAGTCCAGACATATGTCTTAATGGGGAATCCAACCATGACCTCCTGGTTCATAGGCTGATGCTCAACCCAAGCCACGATGGCTGGGCAGAGAAACAATTTTAAAACCTAAGTGTTCCATATTACCTCATCTGGTGTCACTTTCCCGATCCGATAATCAGGACAATACAAGGAATTGGCTAAGGCATTTCGGTAAGCTGCAGCATGCAGATTTTCAATGATACCTGAAAAACAAGTAAAGAAGCAGTTATGGATATATAATTAAAAAAAAAGATAACATGTTTTAGAATTTAAAAAGCAACTATGTTTATTTTGTTAATCCTCACTTGAGAATATTTTCTCCATTGATTTTTAGAGTGGAAGGGAGGATGGAAAGGGGAGGGGAGAGAGAAACATCATGAGATACATGGGTTGGTTACCTCCCACACATGCCCCAACTGGGCTGGGGGTCAAACCCAGGTACATGCCCTTGACCAGAACTCAAACCCATAACCCTTTGTTGCGGGTCAATGCTCTAACCAGGGAGAAAAACTGCCAGGACGTTTTATGGCAACTTTAAAAATTTTGCCAGTTGAAACTGCTGAGAAAAGAGAGTATACATATGACAGTTTCTACACGTTGGAATCCACATAAACACTTCCCTATCTACCTGGTATTATCTGGAAAGTATAAAGGAAGTCTGACTTTCCCTAAGACCTCGGACAAATCATTTACCCTAAATATTTACTCCTAGGTTCCCTCTCTAGGTAATGAGGGAGCTGTCAGGGCGAGAGGCACTAGGGGAGTGTGAAGTTTAGGTCATATCACTAGCTTTCAGGGACCAATGCTACCCCCAAATTGTATTCCTCCCCAGTGCCCTGGTACTGTCCCTGTTTCCTGCTGGAGCCTTTGCTTGAGCTATGTCCCTTTCATTTACTTACTGCCAGGCAATCTTCCGATGCCAGGTCCTGTGCAAGTGCTGGCAATACAGAGACGAGTCTATCCTCAAAATGTTGAGAGCCCTACCTGGTCTGGCTCAGTGGATAGAGCATTGGATTCCAATCAAGGGCACGTACCCAGGGTGTGGGCTTGATCTCCAGTAGGGGACATGCAGGAGGCAGCTGATAAATGATTCTCTCTCATTGATGTTCCTATTTCCTATCTCTCTCTCTGTCTTCCTTCCTCTCTAAAATAAAAAAACAACAATAAAAAAACACACCCCCAAAACAAAACCAAATCGTTGAGAGGAAAAAAAAAACCGGTGAGATCAAGTATTATGGGTATGATGTCAATAGTACATCAAAAGTGCAGAGGGACCTGGGAAGGCAGTGGCAACAGATAGGAGTTAACAGAAGTAAACTCTGGGATGAATGAGTAGGTGTCTGCCAGGGGGGTGATTTGGGAATGGCATTTCAAGCAGCAGAAAGAGACGACCGCATAAAATATGAGGACAATTTGATTCAAAGGGAGACTGCAGCTAGAAGGGGCGGGGAGAGCAAGAACCAAGGGAGGTCGAAATCGGTGTGGCTCAGTGGTAGAGTGTCAGCCTGCGGACTGAAAGGTCCCAGGTTCGATTCCGGTCAAGGGCATGTACCTTGGTTGTGGGCACATCCCCAGTAGGGGGTGTGCAAGCAGCAGCTGATCGATGATTCTCTCTCACTGATGTTTCTAACTCTCTATCCCTCTCTCTTCCCCTCTGTAAAAAATCAATAAATTAAAAAAAAAAAAAAAAGCCAAGGGAGGCAGCAGGGCAGGCCACGCCCGTGAGCACATGTGCTGTGAGGAGCCTGGCTTTCTCACAGCCCAGGAGAAGCCTCCAGAGGGTTTTCAGTGGGTGTTCTGTAGAGGCTCACTGTGTGTACGGCTTGGGAAGACGGGCTGACGCCTGCCAGCAGGGAAGAAGCCACTATGGACACATAAGTCTTGTGTAAATTTTACCATTCTATCTCTAAAGTATCTCCCCACAATATATACACACTTTGAATAATTCCAATAGGTTAAATCTGAAAAGAAACATCGAGTGATCAGCTGTTAAGGTGCATACATTTTTGGGGACACCTGTATTTCTTTGGTAGAAGTTGGGAGTAACAGCGATCATACTCCTTTGTAGCACCAAGTATCACCGTGCAATAATATCAGCTACCATGAACCAAGCACTCATTATATCGCACCCTGTCTGGGAGGTGAGGGTCTGCCTGCTGCCTGCCTGCCTGCCTGCCTGCCTGCTGTGTGTTAGGTAGGTCTGCCAGGACTCTCCAGCTTGTTCGGATGGCTCTTGTGGGACTCAGTGGCTCACTCTTCCAGGTCACCTGAGCTAGGTGCTCCAGGAATGTCTCTCGTGGGGGTTAGTGCAGCCTCCTGCTGTAACTGAGTCTGACATGCTGTCGGCCTGTTCATGGGTGGTTAGCCCTCAGGTGGCTGACTATGAAGAGAAACCTCGATCACAGTGAATGAGTCGCGGTGCAGGGACCACCCACTGCCCCCCCCCCCCCCCCCCCCCGGCTGGAGTTGTTCCCAGTGGGGTCCGGTGCCTGTTGGAACACCCTTTGCAGGTGCACGTGCCCTTCACGTGGCTAGCTGGGTTGGGCCGGGTTGAGCTCTGGTGTGGTCTGAAGTCCAACCCTGGCTGTGCAGGTTCTGGGTCCACTTGGGCGGGTTTGGGTGCAGGCTGATGTCAGATGTTGCAAATAACTGGCCTTGGGCTGGAGCTTCCACACCGTTCACTGTTGGTGGCTGCCTCTTTTGCGCTTGGGTGTGTGTGTGAGGACCAAGCTGTGTACAGCCTTGGCTTCCTCTGGGGGCAGATCAATGACAGGTCTAAGGCACCATGAGGGCTGCCTATCCCACAACTTCTGAAGCCATCTGTCTTCTTCCAGAGCCTCTGAAGAAAGGCTGTGGAGTGGGCCCCAGCTACCTGCACCCACACACACTTCCACCGGCATGAGCTCGGCAGGGCCGGGGGACAGGAGCTGAGGACCCATCGAGCGGGCATCCTGGGAAGGCCTGCATGCGAAGCGAAGCACATCCCGTATGGAGCCTGTTAGATTTGAGTGGTCTGCCTGCACATGCGTGTGACTCCAGTGGTGGTGCCTGTTTACACACTTGTTTCTCCAGCTGTACTTGTCAAGATGAAATAATCAAATACTGCATCCATATAAAATATGAGCACAAAGAAAGTCATATTAAAAAACTAAGTCGCTTGCTTTGGAAAGACCCAATAAAGGTGGGCTGGCTAAACGGTAACAGCATACATAACAATAAACAACATCAGCAGCACCAACAAACTGCTGCTGGATTTGGTGGAAGCACAACAAACCGGGGGTGGAGGGACAGGGAAATGCCTAGGCTTCCATAATCTATATATCATCAAGATGAAAAATTATCCACAATATAAATGTTTAGAAACAAAAGAGCAAACAACAGATCTAAAAAACTGGACAAATTTATGGAAAAGGCACATTCAAACCCAAGTAGGAAAAAACTTCAGCGACACTTTTTCTCTATAAACTCATCTTCTCAGAAACAACGGACGCCATGTGAAAAGGCACTTACGAGCCTGTGGGTTCTGAAGAGCCACAGCTTTGTCAACCCTCAGCTGAGCCTGCAGGGCAGCCACCTCCCAGCGGCGGAACTCGGGCGCCGTGGTGACATTGAGCAGGAACTCCATCAGAATCTCGCTGGGGAGACATCAGGATACCAGTCAGGGTCAAACATGTAACACCAACACCCATCCTATGGAACTAAACTCTCAAACTAAACTTCAACCTTGTGGCAAAAACTGTCTAAGTACTTGGCAAGTCATAACCCAAAACCAAATTCAGAGGTCAGAATGCTACACTGAGAACTGAGCAGCGGCATTTCTCTAAAAGTAGTTGTCCTAGCCTTGGCCGGGCACCTCAGCTGGCTTTGGCATTATTCCAATATGCCGAGGTTGTAGGTTTGGCAGGAACATGAATCGAGCAATGAATGCATAAATAAGTGGAACTGCCACCTGATGTTCTCTCTGAAATCGGCAACTTTTCTAAAAAAGCAGATGTCCTGATACGTGCAGGAGCTTACATGTCATCCCGCAGGCACTCCGCAGTGTAGGCCATGTTTTCTCTGGTCGAGGTCACACTGCATCAGAAATAATCACAGTGAGTTATTAGCATCAGAAGTTTTCCCTTATACATTTGTTAAACAAACCAGTTCCTTTGGGGAGAAAAATTATTCTGAAGTATAAAAAATATAAATATATGCATCAACTGAAATTTTAAAAAAATTTAAAAAGCACCTGACTGGTGTGGCTCAGTAGACAGAGCATCGGCCATGCACTGAAGGGTCTCGGGTTCAGTCCCCGGTCAGGGGCACCTCCCTTTAGGTTCAACCCTCAGCCCGGCAGCTGCCGAAGGCTTTCCTGCGTCCTTCCCTCCACTCTCTAAAAATCAGGGAAAAACAAACATTCTCCCTCCCAAAAACTATGTTGTATATCTGAAACTCATATAATACTGTATGTCAACTATAATTGAAAAATGAAAAAATATATTAAAAACATATTTTTAAGAAAATAACAAAACAAACAGCAAATAATTTAATCTTAAAAAGGAAATCCTGACACATACATAGATGAGTCCTGAAGACATTACACTAAGTGAAGTCAGTCAGTCATAAAGGGACAAATATTGTACAATTCCACTCGGCAGTGAGAACACAGACTGAACAGAGAGGTGGCTGGCAGGAGCTGGGAAGGTGAACACCTCCCGTCCTGGAGATGCATGGTGCTGTGGTTGCTTCATGCCACTTACCATAGAACCATACACTTAAAGGTGACAAATTTCATGTCATGTATATTTTAGCACAACTTAAGGAAAAAAAAAAAAAAGAAGACAAGTGAAGGTGCAGATCTTTGTGTCTTTCCCAGGCTAATTCTCTCCCACTCTAGAGACAAACGTATTCATAAGCATTACACATTATTATTTTGCTTTAAAAAAAATTATACATGCCTCATACTTAAAAAAATCTTGAAGTAAAATTTTCCACAAGACATTTTGCGTTTAGTCTATGCTGATACGTAGCTCAAGCTCATTCCTTAGCGGCTGTGTAGTAGTCCCATTATTTGAGAGTCTCTTACTTTACCCATTTTCTAAAAGTGGCCATTGACATCGTTTCCAGGTTCTACAAAGACACCTTTGTGCATGCGGATTGAAAAATGCTAGGTTTTAGGATATGCTCATTTTTAAGAACACTAGATATTTCTTAATTCTTTCCGAAGTAGTTATATCAATTTATACTCCCACCAGCTAAATTGTAAAAGATAATCTCCACCTCCCATAACACAACAACACAACACACAAGAACTGATGTTGTGGCATGTAGCACACTACTGCCGACAAGTCGAGATTGCTGTGTCTGGCTTTCCCTTCGGGCAGCAGCTTGTTCCTATCCTTTGTCCATCATTCTTCTCTTAGGTTGTTTTTTCACCCTGATTTGTAATTATTTTTCCAAACAATCCTCTCCACGTTATGTGTGTTGCAAATATCTACTCCCAGTTAGTTAAATTTATACTTCAAAGCATAAAGATGATTTACTTTTAAAAATATATATATTTTATTGACTTCTTACAGAGAGGAAGAGAGAAGGACAGAGAAACATCAATGAGAGAGAATCATCGATCAGTTGCCTCTTGCATACCCCTACTGGGGATGTGCCCGAAACCAAGGTCCATGTCCTTGACTGGAATTGAACCTGGGACCCTTCAGTCTGCAGGCTGACGCTCTATCCACTGAGTCAAACCAGTTTCAACTGACTTAATTTTGATGTAGTCAAATTCAATAGTTTTTTCCTTCTTTAAGAAATTCTTAACCACCTTGATAACAGAATATTTTCTGGTGTTTTCACTATTTATTTACTATTATTTTTAACAAACCTTAATTTACCACCAACTGCTTCGATTCCACGGGTTATCTTAAAAGATGACGCTCCTTTTGTAGTCTTAAAAGAGAAAGAACAATTGTTTTTAGTTTTTTAATGCTGTTTGCCAAACAGCACACTATATCATAACTTTATATCTTACTGTCACTAGATTCAAAGGGAACTTTACCTAAATAGTGGATCCTTTTTAGTTTAAGAGTTATAAAATAAAGTTCACCAAAAGCACAAGTATAACTTTTTATATCAAGTACATTTAGGAAAAAATCCCATTATTAAATACAAGCTTACTGGATTCATCAGCATTTTCTGAAAGAGATTTGCATATGGGAAAGAATAATTTTATTTTTGTACTTTAAAACAAATTTAATTAAAAAAAACATACAACCTTTTCTTTTATGCTCTAGCATGAATGTCCAGATGAACACTCATTTAATACTTCTCTGCGGTAAATATCCTGTGGTTTTTCATGTTTCATTAGGGGACTGTACAGGGTTGAATAGTGTCCCCCCCAAATTCACATCCACTCAGAACCTGTGACTGTGACCTTATCTGAAAATAGTGTCTTTTGCAAATGTATGTGAAATGAGGTCATAGTAGATCAGAGTGGGCCCTACATCCAATAGGAATGGAAGAGTCAGGAAGAGGGAAGGTGGACAGAGGAGACTGTGTGACAGGCAGACATCGGAGCGATGCAGCTGCCAGCCCAGGCACCCCAGGACTGTGCCACCACCGGAAGGAAGAGGCGGGAAACTTCCCAGAGCCGGCAGCGGGGACGCGGCTCTACCGACACCCGAGCGGGACTGCGAGCCCCTGAAATCCGAGGTCGTTCCTGTTGGTGAAGCAGCTCAGGCTGAAGCATGTGTATGGAAGCCCTAGCGAGCGAATGCAGGTACACCGCTGTCCTTCCCGCAGGACCAGAGAGCACGGCAATTCTAAACAACGGGAGTGAAGGTGCTCACCAGACTCGACGCAAGACGAAGCAAGTGAGAGGTCCCCAAGTTGTTAGAGTCCTCGTACCTACTGCCAGCTTTAATGAACAAACCGATTCTTGATGCAGGAGCATAGTTTTCCAGAGACGCAATCACCAAGCCATTTGGCAATTTGGTGAACTGTATTTGAAATAAAGGAGAGATGTGATCACTGCCTTCGTATTACCCCCAGATCAAAGGCACGTCTACCGTGTTTCCCCGAAAATAAGACATCCTCCACAAATAAGACCTAGCGCTTGGAAAGATAAGACATCCCCTGAAAATAAGACCTAGCGCAACTTTGGGAGAAAAAATTAATATAAGACACTGTCTTATTTTCGGGGAAACAGGGTAGTTCCAGGGAGCACCCAGTGAGACTGACCTCGAGGTCCTGAGGCTGGACGGGCGCTCCTGCAGGGGCAGCCGAGGCTTTCAGTTTGGGAGCAACTTTGAGGGAATAAAATCTCTAAAACACAAAAAGGAAGGTTACACACATTTCTCAGGAACACAGCACAGCGTATCCTCTGTGCCCAGCAAGAGACGGCGCTCAGCGGTAAAGGAACTCCTGGGAAGACTGGCTGGTGAACTGACGATGGACTATGAGCCCACCAGTTAGCCAAGCCTCTCCTAAGCCTCTATTTATTTGTAGAGCCTGAGGAACACCAAGTGCTTTTACTATGTAAAGAATTACTGTGTTTTCTTATACCTTTTAATTACCTTATTGAAGTGTCAATTGGCTCTTTCTAGCTCTAATGCTTTGACATTATTTTAAAAGTGTGGCATTTCACTCAGCATAAGCCAGTCAACGAAAGAAAGACACCACATGTTCTTACTCATTTATGGATAATAAAGAACATTATAAACTGATGAACCAAAAGGTAGATATAAAGACAGTAAAGCAACAAGCAGACTGTCAAATTACAGGGGAGGGTAGTGAGATCTGGGGGAGATAAGAGATCAACCAAAGGACTTATATGCATGCATATAAGCACAACCAATGGATGCAAATCTCTGGGGAGGGAGGGCATGCATGGGAGTGGGGGAGGGGGACAATGGTAAGATATGT